GAGTTGGTATTGTAAATTGCCACCGTAAAGAGCTTCTAAAGCTGAAGTTTCGAGCGTTAGATCTTCTTCAGAGTGACTATAGGAATTGTGGGTTTAAATGCAGAAATGTTGTTGGTCGGAGGATGGTAACGTAAAAAACGTATAAATTAATTGAATGAAAAGCGTTCGTTGATACCGTGGGAATAAGAGTGCCGTTTTGAAAGATAGATATTTAAGATTTTGTCCGCCTGTTGGGGCATAGATCGCAGATGCGCTAATGTTATAATTGAAAACTTTCCAGGTAAATTCCGGTCTGCTGGGGGGAATGTTTCTGGCTATCCCGCCAACGCAGGCGCAGCTGGTACAGTTTACAAGTACGAGAGTCGGCGGGGTCCACAGTACCGTGACCTCAAGTATAATCCGGACGCAAACTTAACTTCCTTCAAACCAGAGCACTCCAAAGTCAAAGTAGACAATGAAAATAACAACGTTGCTACTCCGACGGTTATCATGGAAAATCAAACAGTGTTTTACGAGTTTGATGAGATGCAAGTGGAGGGACATTCTACAGTGATCCTCTATCATCCAGAAACGGCACGGAATGTGACGGTCATAGCGCACGAGGTAACTGGAGATAAAACCGGTATTATAAAACTGGTGTCTCGACAGCGCTTGTTTGTATTTGTGGTGGAGTCAACGCACACTTACATGGACGCTCCGTGTGGATTTCACGTCGAGGACTATGCTGAAATTATCTTTCCTACGGAGGTTATCCTTCGCGGGGAAAGCTCAACCATAAGAGGGCGGATTACTGGAGTAGAGAGGCTTGTAATCGAGAGAGATGGCTTCATAGAGTTTGGAGGAACAGCTCATACTGCGCAGTTACCCGAGGAATCACAGTGGATTGCTGATAATCCATTTGACCCATTCACTCCAGGGCTTATCATCGTCCCACAGTTAATCATTAGTAATACCGGTGTAGTTAAAGTCAAGATGACTCCGATCCGAGTCGTACTTGATATCGCCGACACCAATGTCAAAAAAGGTGAGCCCAGGTTAATGCTGGTGTCTAACACACTGGAAAAACCTCCATAATATTGTCCGCACTCTGTCATTATATTCACTTCTGACACTGAGATAGACAATAGGGAACAGTTAGCCTAGCTTTAATATTATAAATCACAACACTCGGCTGCGCTCGTAGGCTTCACTAAATCTTTACTGTATTTCTCACATCACCGGGGTTTAAGACCTCCGGTAATATTGATTAATTCCTCTGACACTTATTTATAGACAGAAATCGACGATGACATACTTCTTATGCGCTTAAAACTCTCTAGACTCTGAGCCGCAAATTGTGTATTCAAAGCTCTCATTATAACTCATTCTTGATAATATTCGGACTTTTCTTTCAGGTGGTCAACTCATCCTTTATACAAACCACGTCACTATTAATGCTGACTTCGTCACTGTCGAAAGTGGAGGTCTGATAGACTCTTCAGGTGCTGGTTATACAGCTGCAAGTGGTCCTGGAGCTGGATCCGGAAGTACAGGTGGCAGCCACGCATCACCTGGTGGGGGAGCTGCCTCAGGAACACAGTATGGCTCTGTTTATTGGCCTGATGAACCAGGAAGTGGTGGTGGCTACGGTGCCGGTGGTGGACAGGTTAATATTAAGACTGGAGGATATGTTATAGTGGAGGGAACCATTCGAGCCAATGGTAATGGTTTGTCGTCAACATCCTCTGGAGGAGGAAGCGGTGGTGCTATTGTTGTGAAAAGTTTATTCCTTAAAGGTTATGGAACAATCGAGTGTCATGGAGGTTTGTATCAGTTATTTCGAATCTAATAATTTTTTTTGTATGGATTTCCTTAAAAAAGTGTTAATCGAAACTAAAGGTTTCCGAATTGTTAATGTGTAGTTAGTATGCTTTTTTTTTTACTTATTTCTTTGAGCGATATCAGGCTATTCCCGCAATAAAGAAGGTTGCTATCTAACTTAATCAATGCAAAAGTAGTTAATGCAGTAAAAGGCAGACATTTTAGGTTTAACCACGTGTAAAACTTGGCTCGTGCATGTCGAGAACTTATAAGATCTTACTACAAGCTCATTGCTCGTGACAGTTGATTAGGTAAGCAGTGTCATAGTGTCATGCTGTAAAGGGCAGTTTTCATGAGTTATAAAGACAAGCGACCTTTGATTTGATTGTTAAACAAGAGGATGGTTGTAAGTTAATTCTAGGCAAAAATTTTGAAAGCCATCTCGCTTTTTAAATCAATTTTTAGGTCCCAGTCACGATGGAGCTGGTTCAGGGGGCCGTATTGCTGTGTACCTCGCAGAGCACTTCATCTTTAGAGGGAAGTTGACTGCACTAGGAGGCGATAGTGGCACCAAGAGATATGGAAGTCCAGGAACAGTTTACGTTGATGTCAATGTGGGCGAGGAACCGTATCGCATTGTACAAATTGACAACAAAAACAGGGACAGTTTGCTACCAGTTACCCTAGCCGAGGCAAACACATCACTCTATGAGTTCGAGCGAATCCACTTAGTAAGGAAAGGAGCGCTTGCTTTTAAGGAGGTAAGCTTCAGATGATGAATAGCTTCAGATGATGAATAGCTTCAGATGATGAATAGCTTCAGATGATGAATAGCTTCAGATGATGAATAGCTTCAGATGATGAATAGCTTCAGATGATGAATAGCTTCAGTGCCTCACGACAAATGACTAATAATTTAGTGTTTGTAGCGTTGGTGATCAGCTCCTTTTCTAGCCATGCTGTCGCATCTAGTTAATACTTTGAATCTCACTTTTTACGAAAAGAAAACTGAAGCCAACGACTGCTACCCGATTGTTTTTTTTTTCCTTCTTTGAATTCTCATGATCAAAGTTACCTATCGTAGACAGAATCATGAGCCACGTTGATAATTCTCAAACTTAGTATTTTCGTTCGAAGGTTTCGGGAAAGCTGGTCAAAATATTTATAGGGAAAGCTACTGGTGACAAGACAGGCATTCTACTGGCATTGCGGAACACCAGAATATACGTTGAGAGTCATAGCGTTCGCACTGAGGCTCCTGTGAACTACCAAGCCGATACAGGAGGTCAGATTGTATTTCCAATACAAACCACTCTTCTTGGTACCAGGGCTCCGGCATTAACTGTCAACGGTGAGATCCACGGCATAGAGGAACTAAGGTTGTCGTCAAACGTCGGTAGCCTTGTTACAGAAAAAGGCTTCTCAGCTTGCCTAGATTGTCACAGTAACTATACATCCGATTACATTGGCCATTACTGGCTTAAAAAGCTGCAGGTGGATTTGGGAGGAACCTTTGAAGTGCAAAGCTCAGTACAAACAATCTCATCTCAGGCAGTACGTCTTCACATGGGAGAGATAGCTCTAGACTATACAGGAGCACTGAAGGCGGACGCTGCGAAGTTGCTCACAGAATATTTCAGTCTCGAGTTTGACGCGGCTACGGACGCCTCAAGCTCTGGTTGGTCATCCCAACAGGGACCTGGAAGTTCCACAACTTGTTCAGGTGCAGCGGGAGCTGGTCATGGTGGTCGAGGGGGGACAGGATATATCAGTGGGTGTTCATCGTGTACAGCAAACGGTTAGTGAACTTTTAGGGTCGGTTTCCTATAGAAACAGGGATGACAATATCTCGATAACGGTAACCCTGATGCTATCGAGCAAGGTGAAGCCATGAACTTCTATATATATATAGATTTGTGAATCGTGAAGTGGTATAAAAAACTAGACCTCATCTCAGGGGCGTCAGTAAAAGACTCAGCAGTCGTTACAGACGTTTAGAAGTAGGGGTTCAAATAGTACCGGAGAGGTAAGGACTCATATTTTAAAAACCGAACATCTTGGGTTCACAATTCGTGTACTCTGTTATTGTACATCGTGTTAATTCATCTTATTTTCAACGCGCTGAATATGTGGTTAAATTTTTCAGGAGGAAGAGAGGGTGTATTCTCTTATCAATCCAGTTTGTTGTGCAAGGTACAACGACAGAAAATTAAGCGTTTTAATTGAAAGATGTGTCTCTAGGACGCATTTGTGTGATGTTGCATTCTAAACTATTTCTCAAATTTTTTTTATTTTTATTATTTCCAGGTGGTAACACGTATGAAAGTGTATCCCAAGCCATTCAAGCCGGTAGTGGAGGTGGAGTCAATTTAGCTGATGGGGGAGGCGTCGTCTTTGTAAGTGTAGAAAAGCTCTTGGAGCTCGATGGTTCGATCAAGTCCGATGGCGCTAATGGAGACTATGGTGGAGGAGGAGCGAGCGGTGGAACTCTTTGGGTCGCCGGAAGACATTTTGAAGGGCATGGGCATCTCACTGTGAAGGGGGGTGCAGGAAGCCATCGATCTGAATGTTGCAGTGGTAGTCCCTGCAATAGCCATAGAAACTACCATGGTGGTGGGGGTGGTGGCGGACACCTTCGTCACTTTTCCCCCGATGACATCAGGCGCGACATAATACGAAACAGGGATGTATCTGGTGGGGCTTCGGGTGGTGGAAGTGCTGGTAACGGAGGAAGTGGACAGATAAGTGCAGCTGGTAATCAATGTAGTGGTCATGGAACATTTTCCGTTCAGGAAGGCAGTTGCACGTGTGATGCTGGTTCTTACGGCGTAAGTTGTCTGTACCAGTGTGACGCGTCAATCACATGTCTAGGACACGGACGTTGCTCGGCTTCTGGTGGGTGTGACTGTGACGCTGGTTATGTGGGTTATCGATGCGAACATAAGTGTGACGCCGCACGTGACTGTCACGGGAATGGTCGTTGTAGCGTGACAGGGAAGTGCGTATGTGACCCTTGCTATAGTGGAGATGACTGTAGGTACGAATGCTCAGGCAATGGGACCTGTATTGGTGGCAAGTGCAAATGTGATCCGTGCTATATCGGAACTCACTGCCATTCGCTCTGCTCGGGACATGGCACATGTAATAATGGCACTTGCTACTGCGGCAGTAAATGGAAGGGTGATTACTGCGAAGTCCCAAAATGTCCTAACGACTGCTCTGGAAACGGCATCTGCAACAGCGCTCTTCTCACATGTTTTTGTAACCCAGGCTGGCGTGGATTGGACTGCAGCGAGCTTGACTGCCCTGGTGAACCGGATTGTCATAATCGAGGTACCTGCTCATCGATTAATGGTACTGTAATGTGTGTCAACTGCAGTGTTGGTTGGATGGGCCCTGCCTGTAATGATCCTTGTGTCAACGGTGTACAAGAGCCAATGGACAGTGGATTTTGTAAGTGCAATCCCTGCTGGGCTGGCAAGGGCTGTGATGCTCTATGTATGGGCCGAGGTACGTGCTCCGATAATGGAATTTGCAAGTGTGATCCTCTCCAAGGCTGGCGAGGAGACGTTTGCCAAATTCCTGGATGTCCAGGTGTTGGTAAGGATTGTACGGGTAATGGTGACTGTAACAGCGCTACACACGAGTGCACATGTTACCCGGGATGGGCTGGTCTGGGATGCGATATTCCTGATTGTCCAGGGGCGCCAAACTGCAATAACCGCGGCTACTGTAATGCGTCTGTTACTCCCCCACAATGTCAGAACTGCAGTCGAGGCTGGATGGGAGCTGCATGTGCTGATCCTTGTACGTTTGGAGAGCAAACTCCAATGGACAGTGGACAGTGTGTTTGTTGGCCTGGATACACAGGTAAAGATACAAATATCGGCTGGTTTGTCAATATAGCGTATTCCTAGCGATTTTTTATTTTAATATCTTATGATAACTTTTACTTGCGTAAGTACTCCCAAAGAGGCTTTGGGGTGAATTTGACTATGTCTCTGTATCTTTGAATTGAGTCACTGTATCTAACATGAAGCACTGATAGAACTCATGCTTATATTTGAGTGTTTTTTCGTTGGATAAGAAAACAAAAACTATTTCTACTTTATACAGCATATTTTAATGCTTTGTGGTGTGTATTACCTATGATTAGAAATGATTTTTCTCTTAAAATTATGGAAAGGAGAAGGTGGTGTTACATGGTGCAGAAGCAGTGACATAACAACCTTTCACACATGATTTTCAGCTAGCTATGTAATTTCCCTTTCAAAATTAACGTGAGCCCTTTGTTTTACATTCTTCGTGTAGCTCTAGGATATGGTTCCCGGTTGCCCATGTATTAAATTTCCGTTGTTTCTTCTAAAGGTGTTGGGTGTGACAGCGAGTGCTCCGAACACGGTAAGATTGTCAACAACAGTTGTGTGTGTGATATCGGGTGGCGAGGAGATCTCTGTGATAATCCAGGCTGCCCTGGTATTGGCTCAGACTGTACGGGCCATGGAATATGTAACTCCGCAACGCATATTTGCACTTGCAACGAAGGCTGGGCTGGTGAAGGCTGTGAAATTCCAGACTGTCCAGGGACCCCTAATTGCTTTGAACGAGGACTTTGCAACGCTTCTGTAAACCCACCCAAGTGCCAAAATTGCTCCAAAGGCTGGATGGGACCGGCTTGTAATAATCCTTGTGTGCATGGTCAACAAGTTCCAATGGACAGTGGCAATTGTGTGTGTGAGCCTGGGTGGGTAGGTGTGGGGTGTGATAGTGAATGCTCAGAGCATGGAACCATCGTTAATAGCAAATGCCAGTGTGACATTGGGTGGCGTGGAACATATTGCGAAAATCCTGGATGTCCAGGTAATGGAGAAGATTGTTCCGGTCATGGGGAATGTAACAGCGCTCTCCATACTTGTATATGTCAGAATGGATGGACTGGTGACGGATGCCATATTCCAGACTGCCCTGGAAATCCAAACTGTGCAGATAGAGGTAAGAATTCTGAATTACGGGAAACATTTTAAAGCAATTTATACTTATTTCTCATTATTTTAATGCGAAATGAAATGCGTTGTGCACTTTTACATTCAGCAAAGCTTTAAGTAAGATTTTCAATAATTCCGACAATAAATATTGTGGCGTTATTTCTATAAATTGGCAATCGTTTTTTCACGTGTGGTACGCGAGAAACAACTCCCTATTAGGACTCCGAGTCACTCACTTACTTACGCGCTCACTCAGGTGTAAACACTGTGGTAATTAGTCGTCGCGATCTTTCCTTAGGCTTAGTAACCGGCTCGTAAGCGATAGCCCGTTGCTTTAAAAACCACCTACCGAGCTATCAAAAATGTATCTAATCAAAGCCGCGTCGATTGTTTACGATCTGTTGTGAAGCGAGAACCGTGGGAACAATTAGAGTTTATTGATTAATTAATTAATTGAATTACATTGTCTTATGTAAACATTGGCGGTTGCATAACACTTTAGCGGTCGATAATAATCCTGTTTTTTTTTCTCTGACAAAATAAATTATCGGCCACGTGTTAAATTTCAAATCAAGCTAAAACTTGCGGTCACATAGAATACGTACCGAGGTGTATCGTTCTGTCGCAAAAAACTTTAGGGGTTTGTTATCAGATGCAAGAGGTAGACAACCATCTCAACAAAGATAATCGCGTGACTATGCAGGCGAAACGTGATATGAAAATGTAATGAACCCCTGAATTTGGCTAATACAGGCGAAGAGAGATTTGGATCGTAGCGTCTAGGTTTGGTGAATTTTGCAAACGGAATTTGGTAAATTCAGGGCGCTTTTTTCTCTGCTGTTTTCAGTTTAGTGCGCCTGAGGTATGCGTTAATTATTCTATGGAGTTTTGAGGAGTTGGATGGTTACCATCATTCTGGATTTCTCCTTGACCTCCTGAAAGTTTTCAAGCAATGTCACGAACGAAACCGAAAAAACCTCGAGACTTTTTCTGAGTTCTTTCAGTCACTTTAATCTTTACAACGCAATTTTTGATAAAAACAATTGATATTTTCTGTTAAATTATTCCTTTCCCGAGTAGAATGGGATGTCGATTTCGGAAAATGAGCGAAAGATTGCGTACTTTTTACACTCCTCTGAAATCTTCTAAGGTGAAAGGAGAATACTGAACCGCTCTTTGCTTTTGGTTGTAAAATAAGCGAGCTCCCCACTGGTGCGATCCCTGGAACGGGCGGAAAAGTCCATTAAAGGTCATAAACGTTACAAGTTAAATTTCCAACATTCCTTCACGAATGAGTTTGTAATATGTGTGCGACAAAAGCGGACAAATAAGGCATTGGCTTTATGCGATGAAAGCAACCTTGCATGCTCCATTTTTTATCTCTAGATTTCTACCACAAACTGGCCAAATGTATTCTCTGATTGTTTGAAGCTACCAAGTTTAATTGTTAGCCCTAACAAAACGATCTGTATCGTGGAGACGGATAGAAAGAGAGACTAGCAAACAAGTATACGGAGTACAAATGAAACGAGCACCTAAAATACTTAAGCATTAACAAACTGACTGATTGACAAAACGCTGTCTCTCTGATGTTCACAACTTGAACTTTCCTAGACGCGCACATAAGATGATAATTCAATACGTTTTTTGTTTTACTCTCACAGGCGTTTGCAACACTACCTACAATCCTCCCAAGTGTACAAATTGTATTGCCGGCTGGATGGGTCCTGCGTGTGAAGACCTTTGCACAAATGGAACCCAGGTGCCAATGGACAGTGGAAACTGTGTTTGTGATCCGTGTTTCGCAGGTCGTGGATGTAATGTAGAGTGCAACGGATACGGAACATGCTTGGAAAACAAGTGTCGGTGTGATGAACTTACTGGCTGGCGTGGATCGCTTTGTGAAGTTCCCGGATGTCCAGGATCAAAAGGGAAGGACTGCAGTGGAAATGGAAAATGCGACAGTGCAAATCATATCTGCATATGTGATCCAGGTGAGGAGAGTAAACCAAATTCAATTGAATAATGTTAAAAACTTTGAAATGGAGTAAACAGGTTTAGGAGGTATATATTGGCAGCTTTTGTCATTTCAAGACGTCATCTTCTCTTCCTTTCTAATTTGATGTCTTCCCTTTGATGTTGGTTTCTTCTGCAAAGAATTAAATCGAATTGAAATGTATTAAATCACCTTTTGGTTTCGTCATTCAAACAAACTTTCTAAAAGTACTAAGGTGATAAGATGAAATACACTCAATACAATCCAGTCGGGAAAAAAATGACATCTCTCTAAGGATTCATGCTTTTTTATTCCCCACTGACGGCACGTTTTTGCTCGTTTTTCACTTCTATTAGAAATTCGATTATTTTTATTTCTATTAGAAATCAGTATAACTTGCACTGTTAAATAATCCTCCTCATCATTGAAAGGCAGTAGAAACGAAAAAAACTCTTAGTAGACATTTTGGCAAAAGTTTCATTGATAAAAAAAAGGCGCGTAAACGTAACTTATAATTTGTAGACCTGCAAAGGGGATCATTAAACACTTGTTGTAATGTTGTCCTTTTGTCAAGAAGAGGCACCCTACAGATGTATATCTGCGTTCTTTTCTCAGGGTGGACGGGTGTTGGCTGCCATCTCCCTGACTGTCCTGGCGTTCCAAATTGTTTTGGTCGTGGACACTGTAACGCGACTAATCGTGTGACTCCTGAATGCACGGACTGCATTCAAGGCTGGATGGGTCCAGCTTGTAACGATCCTTGTGTCCATGGTTACCCCAAAGATGGTATCTGCGTATGTGATCCTTGCTTTACGGGGAGCGGATGCCAAAGTGAGTGTTCCGGATTTGGAGAATGTATCGACAACAAATGTGATTGTGGCCAAGAAGAAGGTATTGCTCATATGGGAGAATACTGTGAACTGCCAGGATGCCCAGGCCAGTGCACCAGTCCCGATAACGGCTTTTGTAGCATGGACACTCAAAAATGTATTTGCGCTCAAGGTTGGGCTGGGGACGATTGCAGCACGCCCGATTGCCCAGGGGAACCCATTTGTTCTAGCCATGGAAGCTGCAGTAATTCGAACCCACGACGGTGCAACTGTGAGCCGGATTGGGCCGGTGTTATGTGTGAACTTCCTTGTGTCAATGGAACGAATTATGGTAACTCATCAGGTTGCATTTGCCACTCTTGTTTTTCTGGTTCGGGCTGTAATGTTGAATGCTCGTTGAATGGAAAGTGCGTGAATGACAAGTGTGTCTGCGATAAAATCTTGGGATACAAAGGAGACGTCTGTGAAATTGCAAGCTGTCCTGGGTGGCCATTTGACTGTAGTAACCACGGAAGCTGTAACGGAGCGACGTTTGAATGTACATGTGTTCCAGGATGGTCAGGTGCTGCATGCGACATTCCAGACTGCCCCGGTGATCCGGACTGTAATGGACGTGGTGCGTGTACCCCATCCATTGCGGACAATGAAACACCTAAGTGCATCTGCCAGCAAGGATGGATGGGTGTTGCTTGTGAGAAACCCTGCAAATTTGGCACACCAACAGCTGACCATATTTGCGACTGTGACGATTGCCACAATGGGCCTGCTTGTGACATGCTTTGCTCAAACCACAGCTCAAATTGTGTAAACAAAAAATGTGACTGTGGCTTTGATGGGTGGCGTGGAAATTATTGCGAGAAGAAAGGATGTCCCGGTTACAAGAAAGACTGCTCGGGGCATGGCCAATGCTTAAGTGCGTCACAAACGTGCATCTGCGATCCAGGCTGGAGTGGTATGCCTTTTCGTTTAACTTTGCATTCAGAAATTATCCTTTATAACCATTTGTGTTTCTGTCAAAGACAGTTTAAAACGTTGAAAACCTGTAAAAACATCCTCCACTGTGATTCATTAGGGGCGTTTTCTACTCGGCTAAAATAAATGTATTTTTAGATTAAAACACCGGGCAATTTCCAGTCACCATGCGTTCGATCGTGAAGAACCTCTGCAAATATTCTTATGAATCTAAAACTTTCTTACAGAGCTATGGGGAGTGGTTCAATTTTGATCTCCAAGAATTTAAAGGATTACATGCTATAAAAAGTATTTCAAAATCTGTGTCAATTATCTGACTTTCCTTGAATCTATAGGTATTGGTTGTGAACAAACGGATTGTCCTGGCGATCCAGACTGCAACAATAGAGGCCAATGTATACCAGCTGAGACTCCTTACTGTGGTAATTGTGCGCAAGGCTGGGCAGGCATTGCTTGCGAGTTACCTTGTGTGAATGGCACTCAAAACCAAGTAGATCCTACGGTCTGTGATTGTGAACCCTGCTTTAATGGACTGAGCTGTGATGTGTTTTGTTCTGCCAGAGGCAACGCTACGTGTACCGAGGGAAAATGCTATTGTGGTTTCGAAGGCTGGCGTGGAGATTTCTGCGAAAAGAAGGGATGTCCTGGTTTGTTCAACATGGACTGCTCCGGACGTGGTACATGTAACAGTGCGACGCAGACATGTGATTGTAATCCAGGATGGGCCGGGCGGGGATGCCATGAGCCAGCTTGTCCTGGAACCCCAATGTGCAGCGATCATGGTACGTGTGAGAGCCTTGCAACCATATCATTCTGTTCCTGTGACAAAGGTTGGATGGGCCGGGCTTGTGAAACCAAATGTGAACATGGTACCCCACAGCAAACAGCTGATGGATCCTTCTTTTGCCAGTGTGATGACTGCTTCAGTGGTATATCGTGCGACATGGAGTGTTCTGGTCGTGGAAACTGTACAAATAACACCTGTGACTGTGGATTTGAAGGGTGGCGTGGTGCCACGTGTGACACAAAAGGTTGTCCAGGTTGGGGATCAGACTGCTCTGGTCATGGTTCATGTATTACGGCTTTAGGTATATGTTACTGTCGACCTGGTTGGTCTGGGAGAGGGTGTCACATACCTCAGTGTGCAGGGGGTGGAAACTGCAGTGGGCATGGCGTCTGTGATGGGGTCAACCACGATCCCCCAGTTTGTGTCTCTTGTGACTCAGGATATATGGGAGAAGGCTGCGAGCAAAGATGCATAAATGGAACAGTTATAAAGTCTGGAGAGGGGGATACTTGTAAATGTGATAGTTGCCACACTGGGGTCGACTGTGGTGTGGAATGCAATGGACATGGAAAATGCAACAACGGAAAATGTGCTTGTGATAGTGGCTGGAGAGGACCTAAGTGTGAGACTATTGGTTGTCCAGGACAAGGGGTCGATTGCACTAATCACGGAGTTTGTTTGCTGGTTACACAACAATGTGACTGCTTTAACGGATGGAAAGGAGAAGGCTGTGATATCCCAGATTGCCTTGGTGTCCCCGACTGCAATGCATTAGGAACATGTTATGGAGGGGTTGATCCGCCAAAATGTGTGAACTGTACCAACAATACGATGGGCCCCTCGTGTGAATTTCCTTGTATACATGGGAGGGAAAACCCACCAGACAGCGTTATATGCGAGTGTGATCCGTGCTATATCGGTCTGGCCTGTGACACTGAGTGTTCTGGACGAGGAACTTGTAGAGAAGACGTGAATCCGAAAAGATGTGAGTGTGATTCAGGATGGAAAGGCCCAACATGTGAAACATTAGACTGCCCCGGGGAACCAGACTGTAGCGGACGAGGAGCCTGTGTGCAGCAGGGTACTCCTCCTACAGCGGTATGCCTTTGCAATCAAGGATTTGATGGTGATGACTGCAGTAAACTTGTCTGCCCTGGTCGACCCATGTGCAGTAACAGAGGCACCTGCACATTAGTAGGCGGCATTCCAATGTGTGTATGTAATCATGGCTTTGATGGAAGTTCGTGTGAGCGTTGTATGCCTCAGTTTACTGGATCAGAATGCGATAAATGCATCACAAATTACATCGGATGGGCAGTTGGCTGCAACATTTATTGTGTCCATGGTAACGGAACGGGACAAAACGAGGACATTTGCACGTGCCATAATGATGCAAATCTTGGTTACTGGAATGGAACAAGCTGTGATCGCTGTGTGTTTGGCTGGGGGCTGCCATCCTGTGCCGTGTGTGATGATGCACATGTAGGAGAGAATTGCAATATTGACTGTTTTTCTGCACATGCTCAGTACCGCGACGAACTTGACGGAGACTGGGGTAAACATCCTGTGGCACCAATTTTGAACTGTTTGTACGAGAACGCCCATGACGAAGTGTTTGCCTGGTTTGGATACCACAACAAAAATCCTCACAACGTATACCTGAATGTTGGAGCGGACAACTTTCTTACTAGACCTTACCTGGATATCGTTCCTGGAGGATTGAAGGGTTTTGTTCTGAAGACCGGTGGTGCAGACAATGCTACTGACAATCTTGTTCCTTTACCAACCCAAGATTATGGTCAACCTAATAAGTTCGTTCCTGGCAGACACGACAAGGCTTTTAAAGTTAGGTATGAACAAACTGACACCGCTAATAATTAACTCAGGACTTACACGAGTCACATAGATCACTCACGGAGTAGGATACTGCGGTAACTTTAACGTTTACATCTGATCGTCAGAATAATTCTTAGATGTGTCCCTTTTTGCTCTTCGAGATCAATTTTTGTTTCACCACTTAAATGGCTTTAGAACTGTTGGAAACACCTGATTGAGATAAAATTATCGAAGAAGTTTTTATTCAAACACAAAACTTTCTGAAGGTGAATGAAACCTTTTCCTGAAGGCTTCAACGTATTTAGAGTGCAGTTAAAACGCTAACAACTAGAACTGTTATGTAGTACTGTTGTTTTCCATTTTCCCTTCACTCAGAATGGAAGACGCCTATCCAATTGCCTGGGTTTTAGCATTCCCACTGTCAAATGAGAGAAATGCAGCAGTAGCAAATCAGTCTCTTCTCCATACTATGAAGTGTACCGATATTGAGGCACAGGAGAATAATGTAAGTTTAATGATGTTTATGTCTATCCCATGGAATGATTTCGTGGTGTGTAATCACAACACTAATAAAAGCAGTAGCTCGAAGGAGTCATAGAAAGGAAAGGGGACTAATGTTGCAATATTCAAAGGCTGAAATCTTGAAGGATTCATAATGAAAATCATGTTGCAGTTCTTAACATCAAGCCTATTCAAATCTTAGTGTCTTGTTAAGAGAAATATCAAGCTAATATCATGAAATTTAATACTGTAGGTTTCGAGTGAAAATAACATATGTTCTTGTCTTGATGGACACTGGGGCTTTGCGTGCCAGTTTGATTGTCCCGGCGGACCTCAAGCGCCATGTCATAACAATGGCTTTTGCAATAAAACCACGGGATCGTGTTCATGTGATCCTAACTGGCGCGGAGACGAAAACTGTACCACATGTTCGCCAGGTTGGTACGGACTTGATTGCTCGGTAGTCAACCAAAGTACAAATAATTACACTGCAGCAGCATATGGACATGGTTACTTTATAACGATCGACGGTGCAGGTTACAAATTCTTAGGAAACGGAGAATATCATTTGCTGCTGTCTCATTTATGGGAAGTCCAGGCTCGAATGGTGACATGCTTTTCTTCGAGCTCTTGTGTTAATGCGGTTGCTGTGAGGATTGAACAGCACACGCTATTGCTGCATTCAAGGTTTGTTAATCGAAAAGAGCCTGTTGTTTTTGCAAATGGAAAGAGAGTGTATTCTGTTGATTTTGAATTTGGCCCAGCAAGTCACCGCTTTACTTTTAAACGAACCTCCCGGTTACAATTTGTACTCTCATCCTCTTATGGTGTCCGGCTCATAATTCGCTTATATGATCGATATCTTGATGTTCATTTGCGTGTAGACAATCAAACATATTGTAAAACAAGCCAGGGACTGTGGGGTAACTGTAACCTCAACTCACTCGATGACCTGTACAGCAGAGATGGCAAAATAGTTACAGGACTGAATGTCTCTCAGTCTTACGTCACTGAATTGTATGCAAAGTCTTGGAAAGTGACCGAAAGAGACAGTTTGTTCGTCTATGACATCAACAACTACCACGAGCAGAGAGAGCTCTATGGTGGCGGGTACGCGTTATATTTCAACAACTCGGGTGCCCATACCGAAGAAATCTACAGCTTCTCCTTATCTGACATCACTATTGAATTCATGGTTCGCGCTGAGAGTGAAAACGGAACTCTTCTCTCGTACACCAGCACAGACATGTTTGCTGTAATTCTGGAGTCCGGCAAGATCAAGTTACGCTACGATGATATCATTTTAGATACTTTGGCGGTAATTCAAACGCACGAATGGAATCATATTGCTTTGGTCTGGTCATTAACGACGCGAATTCTTCAATTCTACCACAGGGATGATACTGGACAACGTGTGAACAGTCGGAATTTTCCAATTACCAGTAATGTGAACGTCTTTCAACCAGGAGGAATTCTCGCCCTA